GCGCGCGAGGACGCGACTCCACGCCCAATGATTTGGACTGGCCGCGCGCGTTCTACCGCTCGACTGCATACGCCGCGCCGCCGCGCGCGTGGCTGCAACGGCAAAAAAGTGTGTGTGTGTGTGTGTAAGGTTGTGAGTGTTTGCGCATGTGTGTGTGTGTGTGCGTGCGTGCGTGTGCGTGCCTGCCTGCGTGTGTGTGTGTGTGCGTGTGTGTGTGTGACACGGCAGCACAGGGACGCTATTTGTATTGCCAGCGTCTGGGCTCGATCCGCGTCGGAGGGAAACATGTGCGTTTGTAAGCTTGTGTGTGTGACATCGGTCGCGCGTATCTTTCTCGACGGGTTGCCTGCACGCGCGCGCCTGCCTCGATATGGCGTCCGTGACAGTGGAGCGGCAATACCAGGTGGCAGATTGTATGTGTAATGTGTGTGTTGTTTGCGCGTTTGCACGCGCAGGGTGTTCTTGCCGTGTGCGCGCGCCGCGGATGCACATTGCTTGGCCACGACTCAGCTTCCTTTTCTGGCCGCCACCTTCCAACCCGCGGTGTCACGTGTGGCTGTCATCTCCTTTGCCCTCTGCCTCGCTCCGTCTTGCCGCGCGCTGAACTAGGTACCTCGTCGACGCCTAAGAGATATGTTTGCTTGCTTGTGTTATTTGTTCCCGCGTGTATGTCTGTGTGTCTGTGCGGGCTGGTCCGCTTCCGCTGTGAGCTGGGCCCGCAAGCGCGCCCACGTCTGCTTTCGTCCATTCGCCTGGCTTCGCCGCGTTGCTGTGTGCGTGGCCGCGACGCAAGAAATGCTTGAGTGATGGTGCCACCGTGACTCGGCATAACAGGACACAGCATCTCACTTGCTGGCCGGGAGTGTCCGGGCAGCGGACTGGCGGATCATGGCCTGCGTTGGGGTGACCGGTTTCTTCCTGGCAACGGACCTGCTGATTTTATTCCAGGATCGCAAGCAGGGCCGCACGCGACCCCCGCGCTCTCCAGATCCGCCCTATCATATTGGTTGACACCGGCGACGGCGCGGAAGGATGGAGACGCCGAGAGCGCATCAGTTGGTGCACCATCCAGCCAGACGCTCCTGACTACCGGCGGCATGTGCGAAATGATGCCGTTTAAATGTTGTTATGTGCGGCGAAGGGGAGGGGAGGAATGACCGCGGGGGGCAGGGAGGACGACGATCGCGAACACGACCAGGAGGAGGAGGAAGAGCAGGAAGAGGAGCAGACTCAGGGTCCTCAGAGACCCATCTGTCTGATGCCGCCGATGGCAGCGAATAAGAATAATAATGATGCTAATAATAGTAATAATGATAATAATAATAATAATAATAATACTAATAATAATAATAATAATAATAATATTAATAATAATAATAAGTTAAAGGTGCAGCGAATAGTGTGAGATAAACGGTTCTGCGTATTCCTGTGCTTGGGCTCGAGCTCTCTGTTTCTGAGATTTAAACGCTACGAACGGGGGCCAGGCACTTTCAGGACTGACAAAAACGAAATTCATTGGGGGAGTGCCCAACTTTGGAGCTTCTGCGAAGAGTTGCGACACTAGCGGTACCAATCTGGTGACGGAAGCGAGACTTACCCTGTTTGATTGAAATTTGTTGTGTTTCTCGGTGACCACCAGCGATCGATTCGACGTTCGCCATACCCAATATGAGACGACTATTTGTCATCACCGGCCCTGGAAGAAATTGAGTCAGTACGTCCGCCTTATGTTTAGACGACTTCACAACTTGAAGCTATATCAAGCCCACATCTATTATTTGCCTCCTCGCGCTCGCCTTGACCATGTAATAGCGCAAACGCCACGTGCCGCCCTGCTTGATGAGTGCAACGCTCGCCGAGCTGTCTGCACAGATCTTGAGCTTCGGTTTTATGCCGAACACTCGCAGATAGTCCTGGAACCCCAACGCCATCTACATCCCTGCTGTCATCGCTTGAAGCTCTGGCTCCGCCGTGCTTAGGGCAATCATCTGCCGCTTGGACGCCCTCCACGACACTGGGAACTCATCCCACAACACCAGCATGCAGGAGTAGCTGGTGTTGCCTGTCGGCGCGAAATTGGCGTCCGCGTGAACCGTGACGTCGGTCTCGTCGTGAAATCTGCCCATGCAGATGCCCTCGCCACCGCAGTGCACCAGGTACTTTAAAGCCTTCTTCGCCAGCTTGTGTGTCTCTGGTGCTGACATCCTCGATACAGCGTGCGCGAGGTCTGGCCTCGTCCGGAGAGAAAATGAATCAGGCGCCCCAAACGGCGCCCTAGCAGGGCCCTTGCCCGAAAACATGCGTCGGCGGAGGCGGCAACTACGTGGGCTTTTGATTGGAGAGGCCTGACGGCCGGTGCCGCCGACCCTGATCGAAAGGGCTAGGAGCGGGGGGAGGAAGCGGAGGAGGAGGAGGAGGAGGAGGAGAAGGAGGAGGAGCACGAGGAGGAGGAGGAGGAGGAGGATGATGAGGAGGAGGAGAAGGAGAAGGAGGAGGAGGAGGAAGAGGAGGAGGAGGAGGAGGAGGAGGAGGAGGAGGAAGTGCATCCTTTGTGTGCCCGCTCGAAGAAAGTGCGCTCCGGGGAGTGTCATATTCTGACTTGGGACGCGCTCCCGGAAGAGGAAGAAGTGCATCTCGGGCGTGCCCGCTCGAGGAAAATGCGCCAGGGGGGTGGTATTTTGACTCGGGGCCCGCTCCCGGGACGCCTCTGCGGGAGGAGGAGGAGGAGGAGGAGGAGGAGGAGGAGGAGGAGGAGGAGGAGGAGGAGGAGGAGGAGGAGGAGGAGGAGGAGGAGGAGGAGGAGGAGGAGGAAGGGGAGGAGGAGGAGGGAGGAGGAGCAGGAGGAGGAGGAGGAGGAGGAGGAAAAGGAGGAGGAGGAGGAGGAGGAGGAGGAGGAGGAGGAGGACCAGGAGGAGGAGGAAGTGCATCCCGTGCGTGCCCGCTCGAGGAAAGGGCGCCCCGTCGGGCGTCGTATCTGCCCCGGCCCCCCCCCTCCCCCCCCCCCTGCGGGGAAGGGATCAAAGGGAAGGCGCTTCCCTTCGACTCCACTACGACGTCGTTTAATTTCGCTTTGGATAGCGCGCTTGAGGAGGAGAGCCCTGGGAGGGGGAGAACGGAGACGACGGAGACGACGAGTCGAACGGAGAAGCCCCTCACACACGCCGACAGGGTCGGCGGATTTTGCGGCCCTGGCGGACCGACCATTTTTGTTCGAAAGCGGTGGGTTGTTCCTGGTCGCCCGCTGTGATATAGCAGTGATTTTATCTTGGCTCATGCCCTGCAAGATCCTGCCCAGCTTGCCTTCGGCTCGAAGTGAGGCTCCTCCTCTACCATCTCAGGATCCTCTTGGGGTCCACCTTCCTGCTCCTGGTCCTGGCCGCTATGATCTGGGAGCGTTGCTCCTTCGACATGACTCCTGATTCTCCTTCAGCCTGCTCCAGCCTCCTCCTATCTAGCATCTCCATCTGCACGCTGCCCAGCACGATCAGCTGCAAAGGCCCGGCTGGGCCCGTGGACGGCGCCCGCCAACCTCCTTCTCGGGTCCTCGTCCTCCCCGGTCTCCAGTGCCAGACCGTGGTCACCATGCCGAGCACCACCTGCGCTAAGACACTCCTGATACTCTTCCGCGGTCGGGGTCGGAGTCCCTCCCTCAGCGGTGCAACCGAGCGTTGCCAGCACGACTGCAACACCGCCCGAGCTCCTTGCGCGATGCCGCCTGCCAATGCCGTCGCCGACCTCGCCGCTCCGGCCGCGGCGCCTCAGGGCATCATCCCAGCCGCTTGTCGAGCCGCCGCCGTAAGGACGCTTGCGCTGAGGTCAACGCCACGCATCTGTCGAAGGCGCTCTTGAGCCCTCCCTCGCATGACCTCCTGGCCGTTCGGCAACTACCATTGGCCAGCCATGTTGAATCAGTCCATTGCGCAAGCGTTGCACATCACATACTCACCATAGACTGCGCTGCACTCCGCATGCATCAGCTTCCTGCAGCCCTCGCACCACGCGCTGCCAACGCGGCCACAGACGCGGCACGAACAGTGCACTTGTTCACGTAACGGTCCCTGCTGCTGTACTGCCAACGCCAGATTCCCTTGGTCTTGTTTCCAGGCGTTGGGCTCATAACCTCTGAGACTCATCTCTCTGAGGTCGGCGATGCGAAGTGAAAGGTAAAGGTGTAGCGAGTGGTTTGACGGATCTTCGTTTTCTTGTGTTCAGGCTCGAGCGTTCTGTCTCTAAGCCTTGATGACTACGGACGGAGACCAGGCATTCCCAGGAGACGATCTACTATTGTCTCACTGGGCCACGTTGGGGGTGGATAGGTTCAAGGGGGAACGCATCGGTCCCCAATCGCCCACTCATCGTCGATAGGGGCCTCTCAGCCCACCCCGCCTAAACCCTTGCGATGTCGCTATCGTGGGCCTGTCGCTGATCTACCGGCGATGTATTGCTGATTCCCCTACCGTTCTCCCTCAGAGAGGGGCACACACCCAGGCAGCAGGCCCTGGCACACCCTCGAGGTCTCGGTGCGGAGCTGCACGGGCCGAGGCTGCCAGTGAGTTGTACTGAAACACGGCCGGCGTGAGTTTTGGCATCGGGCCTCTGATGCATCGCTGGAGAATCGCTTTCTCCCGCCGCGTCTCTTCCGCCACCTTTGCTTCAATCCCGCAGAGCCTTTGGAAGACACCTGCCTCGGCCTCCCTCCTCATCTCGGTCGCCGCCCCTCACTCTCGTCCCCCCAGTCGTGCCCCTCGCCTCTCATCCTCGCAGTCCCCGTTACGGAAATCAGCATTCCTCGTCTTTCTCGCCCGCCCCATCTTTCTCCTAATCACGTCTCTCTCTTTTCCTCGCCCTCCTTCATCTCCCCCTTTCTCTTCTTCACATCCTGGCCGTCCCTCATGTCTCGTGTTTCCTTTTCATCCTCCGCCTCATCATCCTTCCCTCTCCTCCTCAGTGTCATTCTCCGCTTCTCCTCCTCCTCTTCCTCCTCCTCCTCCTCCCTCCGTAGCCATTTTGGCTCAAGCCACTCACCAACGAGCATAGCCCCATTGCTCAAGCCAGTCGGTCATGAGCTGCTGGGTGCCGCCGCTTGCTGTTTGAGGAATGGCGTGGGACGGGTCCCTTCGTGGGGTGCGGGGTCGGACCCGAGCGGGGCCTTCGGCTGCGTGCTGATGCGTTCGGGAGGCGGCGGACGCGGCCGTTGCCAACCTGTTCAGGCTCGCGGAGGCGCCCGGCCTGATCGCGGCCCCCGAGCTGGACATCGACGCGGTGTCGCCTGGATCCCGGGACGATGTGCTCAGGCGCAGGCTGCGGTTCATCATGCCAGTGCTCGCCGCTGGCACCGCGGGCGTGCACGCCGGGGGCGGTGCGCGTGCCAGGCGCAACCTGGCTGCGCTCAACTTGGATATCTCCGCCGAGGTTATCGAAGGCTCTTCGCAGTCGGAGTTCAACCAGCTTCGGCGGGCGGGGCGTTCTGCCTCGGCGTTCGCCGCTGTCGGTGCTGCTGGCGGAGGCTCTGGCTTCGTGAAGGGGCACCCGTATCCATCCCTGTGGCGGGGCGCTTGGAGCCGCTGCGCGACCAGGCTTGGCCCTCTGCGACCTTGCGCTGCAGCTGCGGCGCGGTGGTCTCCAGCTCGTGGGAGCCCGTCGTGCTCGGGGGCGCGGTGCTGGCCGCCGAACATGTTTCCGAGGAGGTTGCCGGGGCTGACAGCAACGGCGGCTACGTTGAGGAGAACGCAAAGCACGACTCGCCCTCGACGGGGAGTAGATTCATGGCTCCAGAGTTTCCAACAGACGGGGTCCCTCCCGCCCCTGTGGACGGCTCTGAGGAGGGTCGCGCTGTTTCTGGCGGTGCGCAATTTCTCTTACAGGCACTCCCAGACGCTTTCGAGACGGACGACGATGTTCTCTCCCGTGCTGCTGGGCTTTCGGCTCCGCCGCGTTCTTGAGCACGTCCTGACCCGGGATGACGTTCGGCGAGGCGGCGTGCTTCCATCGGACGCTTTCCAAGCTCTGGTGGATTTGCGTCGTCTTGTGCACGCTGCTTGCCGTTCTGAGCTCGGTGTGCGAGCTGGTGTGCCTGGCGCTCGTTCTCCGTCCCCGCCGCGTGCGTGCCGGCCGAGGTCATGTACTCTTTGCGGTCTCAGTTTAAACAGAAAGCAGGGTCGACCCACGAACCCGGAAAGACAGTTAGACCTGCGAGGCATGGGGACGTTTCCAAGCACCTCAATCGGGCGAGGGGCAGTGGCAATATTGAAGATATCAATGACGTGCCAGGAACGCGTCACGGAACGTGCCAGTGGAAGTGCCAGGGGACGCGCCAGGAGACATGCCGCGTTGATTTGTGCAGTGCGCCATTGCGTTGTGGGTCAAGCCGTCGTTGGCGTCAGAATCCTGACCCGACTGGTTTGGATCTTGAGCTCGAGCTGTGAGAACGCATATCTAGTGCTAGTTGCAATCGAAACGCACGAGGCGCTTGACCAGCTCGAGCTCAACATCCGATTCAGTTCCGCAGCCCTCGCTGGAGACACCCTCATAATTTGCCCAGGCAAAGAGCCAGACGGCCACATGTTAAATATCTCCCTGTGTAGCCTGGACGCGTGAAGACGCGGTTCCAGCTCGGGACAACCATGTAAGATACCCCTCTGGGTGGCGTGGATACGTGAAAGCATGGTTCCAGCTCGGGGCAGCCATGTCCGATGCCGCCCTGAGTGGCTTCCATAGGTACAAACACGTGGGTCCAGCTCGGGACCACCATGTTAGATTCTCACCTGGGTGGCCTGGACACGTGAAAACACGTGGCTCCAGCTTTGGACCATCATGTTAGATACCCCAGTGGAGAACCTGGAAATCACCCACCGAAGAATCTGTGTCAGGTTCTTGCGCAGCTGGTGTCGATGTACTGTCTGGCTCTTGCGGGCCCCCATGCTGGGGGCGCCCTGGCGACCACATGTTAGGTATCACCCCCTCCCCTTGGGTGGCCCGCACACGTAAATGCAAGTGGTTCTAGCTCGGGGCAACCCTGCTAGATACCCCCCTGGGTGGTCTGGACACATGAAAACACGTGGTTCCAGCTTGGGGCCAACATCTTAGATACCCTTCGATGGCCTGGGCAAACAAAACACGTGGCTCCAACGAGGGGCAAAAGGGCAACCATCTTAAATACCCCCCCCTTGGGCGGCCTGGACACGTAACAACACATGGTTCCAGTTCGGGCCATGTTAGTTACCCTTCGGGGTGGCCTGGGCACGTAAAAACATGTGGTTCAAGCTCGGGACCACCATCTTAGATACCCCGCCCGGTGGCTTGGACACGTTACAACACGTGGTGCCGCATCTGGGGACAGTCATTTTAGATACCCCTGGGCGATCTAAACATGGGAAAACAAGCACTGCGCTTGAGACATCCTTTGAACTCTGGCCCCCCAAATGGGAGCATTCTATAGCTCAAAACAAGCGTTTCGTTCGACATCCTCTACAGATTCTGTACAATTGGCGTTTCGCTCGAGTCATCCGCAACAGACGAACATGTGTACTTCACTCTGTGTTTTATCAGTCGGAATTTCAAAAACCAGATCGCAAAGGATGGCCTCGATATTTTCATATGCCGGCACACCTCGACCTTGTTATTTATCAGGGAAGAATCCGCTGGCCCACCCCCAATATGGCCGGGGACGGGTTTACCCCCCCTTCGTCCTCCTTCTCCTCCTCCTCCTCCTCCTCCTCCTCCTCCTCCTCCTCCTCCCGCGAGCTCCGCTGGAGCGCGCGAGGGCCGAGGGAAGAGAAGGGAAGAGGAGGGAAGTGGAGGGAACGAGGTTTGGGCTCGACCTCCGTCCTGCCCGATTCGACGCCCGGGCAGGACAAGGGGATCCCCAAGCTCCACGGCTGGGACGTCGTCTTCTGGGCAGTGGGCACCACGCGACTGGCCCCACCCCCCGCGCGCTTGCCTTCCTTGAGAGCCTCCTCTGCCTTGTCCCCCGTATCGCTTCTCCTCCTCATCATCATCAGAATCATCCTCCTTCTTGTGAGCACGTCTTGGTTCATATCTTTGTATGTGAACCACGCTGGTGCAGCTGATGGCCGTCGGGCGGGAGCCGCTCGATAGGCTGCCGCGTTGGGAGGGAACCCTTCCGACGGCACCGATTTTACATGTGATCGGATAGTTTGAACTGCTGCTACATGCAACGTGCACGGTGCGAGAGGCATCGTGTAACACAGCATTGCGCTGCACGGTAAGGGACGAGTGCATTCTGAAGCATCTGAAGCACCTACTCCGTGACATTGTTTTGCTCTATTGCAGCACGCACTCGGCACGAGACAGTTCTTCTTCATAAGCGCTGGGCATTTTCCACCATTGCATTGTAATCTTATAATGTAATCTAGAATTGGCTGTGCAGGATGTTGTCCCCAGGGGCGCTCGAATGACGACCTCCTGAGAAACCCGCTCTGCATGATCCCTGCCGTTAGGGCGGCGGCTGGGCCTGGCACCTGTTAGCTCGGCGGCTGGGCCTGTTATCTGTTAGCTCGGCGGCTGGGCCTGTCACCTGTTAGCTCGGCGGCTTGGCCTGTCACCTGTTAACTCGGCGGCTGGACGTCCGGTGTCGACACTATCTGGTGGCGTTCGTGGGCCATGGTCTGGGCCGGGTCAGAATTTTGCCCAGTCGTTCGCATACTTCTACAGTTTCTTTTGCAGCTCAGCCAGCAAAGGTGCCTAGAAGAGCAGCGTTGCGCAGAACAGTGCGGTACAGATTTGAGCCCTTTTTCTGTGCACTGTTTGGCTCAAGCCACAAGTTTCCGGGGCATCGTGCCCAGATGCTCAGCGCCCCCCAATAATGGGGCGCGGCTTGGAAAAATGGGGAGCGACCCATTCTTGTTAGGACCGCGCAAATTTGAGTCGCCGTGGAGCGCGTTGATCATCGTTGACAACGCGTATGCGGCGATTCATTTTGTCGCGGTCCGCGCCCCATTTTTGGGGGGCCGTCGATGCCCACGATTGGCTCCCAGTGTATTGGGGAACGTGCGCTTGAATTCCCAACCCTCCTTGTGTTGGGTACTCGCTTTGAAAAAAAAGAGAACTGTGGTATCCACTTCCCGCCCGCTCCTCCTCCTTCTCTCCTGTGTTCGCTGTGCCCTGCGGGGCTGCGATCTGCGCAACTGTCGCCACTTTCGTGGGCTCCTGGCTGTCCCCTGCGGGGCTGCGATCTGCGCAACTGTCGCCACTTTCGTGGGTTCCTGGGAGGCCCAACGGAGGTAGGTCATACGCAGATCACTTTGAAGCCTCCCTGTCCCCTGCGGGGCTGCGATCTGCGCAACTGTCGCCACTTTCGTGGGTTCCTGGGAGGCCCAGCGGAGGTAGGTCATACGCAGATCACTTTGAGGCCTCCCTGTCCCCTGCGGGGCTGCGATCTGCGCAACTGTCGACACTTTCGTGGGGTTCCTGGGAGGCCCAGCGGAGGTAGGTCATACGCAGATCACTTTGAGGCCTCCCTGCCCCTTGCGGGGCTGCGATCTGCGCAACTGTCGCCACGTTCGTGGGTTCCTGGGAGTCCCAGCGGAGGTACGTCATACGCAGATCACTTTGAGGCATCCCTGTCCCCTGTGGGGCTTCGATCTGCGCAACGTTCGCCACTTTCGTGGGTTCCTGGGAGGCCCAGCGGAGGCAGGTCATACGCAGATCACTTTGAGGCCTCCCTGTCCCCTGTGGGGCTGCGATCTGCGCAACTGTCGCCACTTTCGTGGGTTCCTGGGAGGCCCAGCGGAGGTAGGTCATACGCAGATCACTTTGAGGCCTCCCTGTCCCCTGCGGGGCTGCGATCTGCGCAACTGTCGCCACTTTCGTAGGGGTTCCTGGGAGGCCCAGCGGAGGTACGTCATACGCAGGTCACTTTGAGGCATCCCTGTCCCCTGCGGGGCTGCGATCTGCGCAACTGTCGCCACTTTCGTGGGTTCCTGGGAGGCCCAGCGGAGGAACGTCATACGCAGATCACTTTGAGGCCTCCTTGTCCCCTTGGCGCACCTGGCGCACTTGGCGCGCACCTGGCGCGCACCTGGCGCGCACCTGGCGCGCGCCTGGCGCGCACCTGACGCACTGGGCGCACCTGGCGCACCTGGCGCACTCGGAGCACCTGGCGCGCACCTGGTGCACCTGGCGCGCTGGGCGCACCTGACGCACCTGGTACACCTGGCGCACCTGGCGCGCCTGGCGCGCATGGCGCGCACCTGGCGCACACCTGGCGCACCTGGCGTACCTTGCGCATCTAGCGCACCTGGCGCACCTGGCACACCTGGTGCACACCTGGCGCACCTGGCGCACCTGGCGCGCTAGGCGCACCTGGCGCACAACTGGCGCACTCCTGGCGCACCTGGCTCACTTGGCGCGCCTGGCGCACCTGGCGCACCTGGCGCGCACCTGGCGCGCCTGGCGGCGCACCTGGCGCGCACCTGGCGCGCCTGGCGCACCTGGCGCACCTGGCGCGCCTGGCGCACCTGGCGCACCTGGCTCACCTGGCGCACCTGGCGCACCTGGCGCGCTGGGCGCACCTGGAGCGCACCTGGCGCACCGGGCGCACACCTGGCGCACACCTGGCGCACACTTGGCGCACCTGGCGCACCTGGCGCACCTGGCGCGCACCTGGCGCGCACCTGGCGCACACCTGGCGCACCTGGCGTACCTTGCGCATCTGGCGCACCTGGCGCGCCTGGCACACCTGGCGCACCTGGCGCACCTGGCGCACCTGTCGCGCTAGGCGCACCGGGCGCGCACCTGGCGCACTCCTGGCGCACCTGGCTCACTTGGCGCGCCTAGCGCGCCTGGCGCACCTGGCGCGCACTTGGCGCGCCTGGCGCACCTGGCGCACTGGGCGCACCTGGCGCGCCTGGCGCACCTGGCGCACCTGGCTCACCTGGCGCGCCTGGCGCACCTGGCGCGCTGGGCGCACCTGGCGCACCTGGCACACCGGGCGCACACCTGGCGCACACCTGGCTCACACTTGGCGCGCCTGGCGCATCTGGCGCACCTGGCGCGCCTGGCGCGCCTGGCGCACCTGGCGCACGTGGCGCACGTGGCGCACCTGGCGCACCTGGCGCAACTTGGCGAACCTGGCGCACTTGGCGCACCTGGCGCACCTGGCGCGCCTGGCGCGCTTGGCTCACCTGGCGC